TGAGTGAGACAAAAAACTAGCACGTGCATTTTTAACTGTTGACGAATTTGTTCTTATTTACTATTTTGTAACCGTTGGGATACTTCTATCTTCGTTTCTCGGATAGCCTATTTACTGTGCCCAACTAATGGTTTTATCGCTTATATTCCGATCTCGATGGGGACAGGTTGGGACCGAGTTCTCATTGAAGTTGGTGTTGGGTGGTGATACATCTGGAATAGGAGTGGGAGTGATGATAGTGGTCGTCACTGTCAATGTGGAGATTGTGGCAGTAATGGTAGGGTAACGGGTGACAGCAACGGGGCGCCGGGAGTTTTTTTTACCGGTAATGATGGTGGACGTCGTAGGCACTGAAGTAGGGGGGTAACGAGGGGGGCACTCCCGGAGGCGGTAGGCAAAGTCGTTGGGCTATTTTGTGTTGTGCCCAATGATGCCCGATGAGGTCGACTCTTGTGCGAAATGCCCCCTGGCAACGTGGGCACGTTGGAAGGGGTGGAGTGCTGGGGCTGTGAGAAGATGGAGCTTGAGACTTGCGAGCCATCCTTTTGGCTTTGTCGGAGACAATCCTGTTGGTTTCATAGATCGTTGTTCCAGTTTTCACTTCTCCCCTCTTAGCTAGTCGATCCTGGATGAAGTCTGTCAGATTTCAGGAATTAGCGTCCGTTCCGAGACGTTTGTGTCCGGTATCTTGCCCTGCCACCGCAGCTTCAACATTCTTTGAAAGCAGCAAAGGTGGAGGTATTTCACCTTTGTGGTATGATCAGCGTAGACGGTCCACCAAAGTGGCCATTGCAAATGCTTCCAATGATGCCCCGTTGTCCGTGACGCGAGTCATCATTCCGTTGCGCAATTGGAGTACCGTTCGCGTGAAGCGCTCCGGGCATACGAATTTAAGCATGGTCCTTCGGAATCTGTCGCGGTTCATCGTATCAATGGTCTTTGTCAGGTCAATGAAGGCAGTGTAGAGGCTCGACGCCTGGTTGGCACCCTTGAAGCTTCCCGGCTGCATTGTCCTCAAGAACCAGAGTCTCTTCCGGACGAGGGGTCAGTTGATTGCTGAAGTCTAAGCGGTGATCAGAAACACATATACGCAGTTACTGCATTTCTTCATTTGTGTTTCTCTCTCAAACACACTAACTTCCCAGCCATATAAAGCAGAGTGGATTTTTGCATTAGCTAGAATATCGGATCCGTGTTTTATCATAATTGTTCCTAATTCTGAATGATTCAAGGCAACCTGCGGTCGGACTCTTCGCACTACAAGTGACCTTACGCCAATTACCAGGACGTACTCAGTCCTTACTTTGACATTAATCCTAAAATAACCATAACCCCCATGATCCTAATACTTCTAAACTCTACCCCAACACTAGCCCCCATAACATTAACCCCTGTCGAATCTCGTGAGACCACCCGTACAACCGGCATCCAAATTTCCAGGTCACACTTAACCTCTTTTTACTTCAGTCTAATGTTGTCGCCTGGGATTTATTTCAAAAGTAGTCTGAATGAAAGCAACATCACAAACCTTCACGAGATGAGCGCTAATTAATCTATTCCCATTTCCTCGGCGAAATTTACATTAACGTTTTATCATAGAGCAGCAAGAACAGCGCCTATTCCGGTTGGAGTTCTGCCCGAATTCAGGATGGTTCAACTCTTGGGATCTGAGAATTACAGTAGGGAGGCTAACTCATGAAATGTCAACCGAAATTTCTAATTGCGTTTTCGTTTTGAAAAGATTGATTAAGTAGGGTTTTAAGACTAATCAGCATGCAGCATAATTCTATAATGATCCAGATACCTCAGGGTGTCGGCTTTCGAATGAACTTATTTCCGACTGCATGCAAGAACTATACTCTGCAAAAAATGACTACTTAAGCAGCATGCAATTTTCTCATTGATTTTCGATGCTCTTGAAAATTTAATTATATTTCATGGAAAACATGCATACAAATGTTCATTATTTTACTTATTCGGTAGGAAATCACGTCTCCTTTCAACTTTGTACTTGAAAAAGGGTATAATTCTGTTTTAAAAAAGTTTCTTCTTATGAGATTTTTTAATACCGTGAATTGGGTGTTCATATAACGTCATGTATCTGCATTCACGAATGTGGCTTGTAAAGTAAGCATTATTGCTCAAATCCACTGCTTAATTTTACGAACCCTATACGGTCTCCTCTTTATACCGTAGAGAAATGCATGGTTTTCCGTACACGGAAAATACGCGACTTGTAGTTCGGAAACCCTGAATGAAAGTATAAAAGCAGGTCGGGTTCAAAATTATTCGGGAATTAGAAAAGTTCTTTAAAAGCGAATTATACCATTCTTTCGAGAATAAGATTGAAAGGAGACGTGATTTCCTACCGAATAAGTAAAATAATGAATATTTGTATGCATGCTTTCCATGAAATATAATTGAATTTTCAAGAACATCGAAAATCAATGAGAAAATCGCATGCTACTTAAGTAGTCATTTTTTGCAGAGTGTAGTTCTTGCATGCAGTCGGAGATAAATTCATTCGAAAGCCGACACCCTGAGGTAATTGGATCATTATACATTTATGCTGCATCCTGATTAGTTTTAAAACCCTACTTAATTAATCTTTTCAAAACGAGAACGAAATTCGAAATTCCGGTTGACATTTCATGAGTTAGTCCGCTACTGTACCTATTGTCGTCCTTTGGCAGGCCAGAAACGCCATCGTTGTACCCAAAAAACTTGATGTTTTAAATGATCCTACTGAAAGAATCAGCCTGGACTAAACAGTGCTGACAGAGATCGTTCAGTTTGTTGGCTGGATTGATGGTACCTGTGCTAGTGCATCGACGCGACCGTCAACATTTTTGAATGATGTTGAGGTAAAGTATCGTTTCAATTGTCAAAATCCTGTAAAAAAGAGATCCAGTAAACCTGTAGGCTTAGGATCAATAAACTGACTGACGCGTTTCTCGCGTGCTAACTCACGTCAGAAGTGCTCACATTGCAATAGAAGAGCACGCCAGGCTGGGCGATATAAGCTCCCTAACCGCCTACGCGGAATTTGTGCGCAGAATACGCACTCCGTGTCAGCACTGGGCACGTGAATCGTAGTTTTTGAATTTTACTAGGGTAACTTTAATATCCTGAATCACAAGCAGAAGAGGCATATGAGTTGGCAAAGCAGGGGTAATTTCAAATGCGCTAGAAGACGAAAATTGCTCTCTAGCTGATGATCTAGGTAAATGGGGGATTTGCATATAAAGTGTCTTTGACGTGTGGCCTGTGTTTGATGATTTGCTTTCTCTATAGCTACTACTCAGAAGGCTTTATATAGTTAATGGCACTGTTGTCACCAAGAAAGCATGTCTAAACATTGCCGGCTGGGACACGGGAATATGGCCCCCATTGTATCAGAAGTGACCTTGAAAACATCCCGAGAAGGGCGCATATCCTTGACTTAACCCTAACCTTGATCCCAAAACTAAGCTTAACGCTGCCCCTACCCTTGACACTGAGCCTACTCTCTATGGAAATTAGCGCAAGGCCTCTAGGATGCGGGGGGCTCTTGTTCCCGTGTTTTGCTCTTTTCTGGCAGCAAAAAGCGAAACTTTTGTAAAAGTTTCGTTATATGATAATTTCCTAGCCCTCTATTGATGTGACGGACACAACTCGTGGAGTATTTTCGAGACGAAGTAAGTTGCAATTAGCTCACTAGTAATGTTGTCTGTACTTGTTAGAAGAAGAAAATTGGCTCTCCAGAACAGCTTTATTTAACCTCCAGAGGGCTACCATCTTAGGCCGAGGCAACACAAAAACAGAACGGCTAACTCTCGAAGTGTGGTTCTCCGATGCCCTCTCTATCAACAGGCATCTGGACCTTCCTGCAGCTTACAAAGTCTTACGTCATCACAATCGTAGAGCTCAGGACCAAACAACCACACCTGACTTAAGAAGGCAGCACGGAGATAGCCCGACGCTGAGCTTACTCGGTGAGGAAGAACAAGAACCGCCAGACCGACCGCGGGACTAAAGTCCAATCAGCTCCCCTGGACGGA